GAAATAATTTCTTTGCAAAAATAATGTCAATGTGTCGAATAATGTGATTATTTTGTGGCATCTCTAAAGGGGCAAATGTCTCACAGCTGTTTGATGTTTATGAAGAGATTATTATAGCTGCTCCACCAAATCCTATTAGTACGGTATCTACACTTGATGCTGGCACACGTTTTAATGGATTATAGTGATAGGAAAGAAGTAAAAGGCTATCTGTTTGATTATGTATTGACTGGAGAGAAGTAAAACTGGCAATTATCATGTTTTATTTTATTCATAATTCTTGCCACGAGAAATGATCACGCAATTACTTTGTTAAACTTTTTCTTTCTCATCAGAGCCACTTAAACTGTCATCTTGTGGAAATACATGGTTCTTATTATTTTAGACGACTCAGGGGTCTGGCTCAATTCTACATTTTGTGTCCTTTGACAAATACTGATAAAGTAACATTAAAGTACAGAGACAACTTTTTAAGACAAATAGTGATAGATTTTGTCTCGTTTCTACAAAATGGCTGTCTACAATCTCAAACCCTGTACTAGGAGAAATTATAAAAAAATGTTTTTGATAATAAATAAAAACAACCTGCCTAACAAAACATGCCAAGTTTAAGCCGCACAATGGCAGTTGGAGAGAAGTATGGCAATTTAGGCCAGATAGCATATATATGAGATTAGTTTGACCTTTGGGAATACAAATCCCATGTAACCCAGGAATAGCAGCATGTCAGGGCTGTGGATATTTAATTCAGAATTGGTTCAATAATCCCTCATTGAGATGGTACAAATGATTTCCCAAAACCTTTGGGCAAACGGGTAATAAGAAAAACAGATTTTCTAATAACTTGTATTTGTCATTAGCACCAAATAAGTGTATATAGTATAACTTTCTAGTTGGAAGGAAATGGATGACAGGGTTGATGTTTTATTGAATCTCAAATTAAATATTGGAATTGATTTTGGCAAATCTTCCAATTTAAATGTAACTTGTGACCTCGACTTTTAATTAAATTGTTTCTCTTTTTTCAGTAAATGTAATAAAAACTAAACACCTGAGCAACAGGGGAAATGTCATTCAAACCGCAATAGATTTGAATCCTGCTGTTAATAATTTGTTTCCATCTGTATTCTGCATATTCAATAAAACACCAAAGTGTAAAACGATTAAGCTTAATAACTACGAGGTGGAGCGATAAAAAAACAAAACATGCAATTTTCCAGGCAGTTTTGTAAATGGCAGCCGTCCACTGCTTGTGTCCAGTAGAGTGGACAGAGGGACAATAGATCTATTCTCAGTGGGTTCTTCTGTCACCCGTCTCTGTCCAGCACAGCCCCCTCACCCGCCCACACACACCCTCTCTCCCCTACACACCACCTACCATGTCTTCATCATCATACTGTACACGCATGTAAGTGTGTTTGTATGTTTAAACTGTGTAGATTCTGGTGTGTGTGGTTTCTCGTAAAAGAGCAAAAAATAGTACAAATAACTGATGATATATTGGAGTAACACAGCAGTAGAAAAGCTGAACTGGAATCAGTTTCATCTTTACCAGCTGCAAGAGAAAAGTGATGTCCACATTTAAGGTACATTGAGTAGGGTTTTCCTTAAAAACAAATGTAAAACTGGATTCTTATTAGCACCAACCTCTATTAAAAAAAAAAGGAGCAGCAACCAGATGCCAGATCACACGTGCAAATTGAATTTGACGATATGAAAATGGTGGACATGATACGAAAACATTTGAATATAGTGAGGCACAAGGCTAAGCAGGGAAAGGTTTAATCTGGGGTTGACTTTCACCTGCTGGCAAGAACCTTAACCTTCATACCATTGTGTTTACAAACAAAACCAACAAACCCTTCTCCTTCTGCCTTAAATACTTCACTAATTATTATCGTAGAATATAATATATATATCTCTTTTTCAGAAGTTAGCCATCTTTTAAAAGGAGTACTTTGACTGTATTACTACTTTCACCTGGTAAAATACTTCAATATGTCTTCCACCACAGCCAAAAAGTGACTAAAGTATAGTTGTGTATATATTTTGCTTTTAACTCAGCTGCTTTGTGTTTAAATCATGATTTGCTAAGGTTAGAGAAGCTAGTAAATCATCATTGTCCCCCTTGAAAAAACGTGAATCTCACACATAAACTAAACAGCCCTGTGTTAAGCTGCTTGAAATTCAATTTAAACCGTATTTTATTGTGATTTGAAAGGCCCTGTACACAAACATAGGTGTTTTTGATTATTCTGACAGATTTCATGACGTTATTCAGACAGATTTCAAGAAAGCTTACGGTGAAAGAGGACGTTTTACTTGATGTCATAGGACTATGTACTAATATGAAGGTGTCATTTAGCCCTCACATTCACATCAAATCCAAACTGAGAGTGAAATAAATGTCAATCAAGTCCAATCCATCCACGTCCACACAGCTCTGAGGTTTAATCAGCCAAAACAATTAAAACCACATTCTGTTTTACCAATGGGTGTCCAGGGCTTTTAATAATAGTCGGATCATGTTCTCAAGTTATTAAAGAACACACAATTGTGGAAAAGACCATTGGTGGGAGACATGATGGTAACCACCTTCTCTCATGTTGAAGTCGACTTTTTGTTGAACCACTTATGCAGGTTGCACTTCTTTGTTCTTAATAGACAACCACATGAAGTTAGTTCACAGGAAAATGTAAACATTAGGTGCATTTAGCTTTGAACAAACGTCTGATGATGTTGTTTCTCTGGTCTACATTATAGAATGGTTGTGTTGAGATGAAGTAGAACCTAAATCCTGAGCACATATATGTTATGACTCAGATCTTTAACTTAAGGTACATTTGTTATACCACATTGTACAAATGCTTTCTTTGATTATATTTTGTACTATAAATCTGAATCTTCTAAGTAACTAAAGCTCAGATTAAATGTAGTGCAGTAAAACTCACAATATTTGCTGCTGAGTTGTAGTGTAGTGAAAGTAGCAGGACATGAATATACTCAAGTACTTCGATATTGTTCTTAACTATAGTGCGTTAGTCAATCTACTTAGCTACTGTTCACCTCTGATTATCAAAACACGTATATTCAATTAGCAATGGGCTTGGTTATAGACAGTACATCAATGTTTGAGGTGTGTTTGAATCGTACTGGGATGTTTTTGATAGGTTTAAAAATGTTGTATGGGATCCATTGCTCCTCGTTCCAGCTCTGCTTCCATGACAGAGTATCGGCTCACAAGCTGGATGTGGCTGGTCGAACTTGCTAAAAGCCACCAGAGTTACAACCAAGACAAAAAAGGTCGAACAAGAGACAGAAACAAATGAGCAAGGCCAGAGAAAAGAGGATTGTTGTGATTAAAAGACAATTATCTGTGCACATCGACTTCCCAGTGTTGTGCGGTGTCAGGCTCGAGCTGAGCTGTTCTGTCCCAGAAGGCCTTGGGAAACAATGGCTACTGTGTCAGGGGGAGTGAGGGGGTGCGCTAACAAGTCTTCGGGTTTCAAGACATGGTCACAGCACCATGTAACTGTGTGAATACTCCTAATGCTACTTTAGGGTTAACAATATATGTTGTGTTATATTATTTGTAATCATAGGGAGGATGAGTTGGCAGGTGGATACAGACATATTGCCTTTTTTTGATGTGCAATTGTCTTAAAACAACAAAAAGACAAAATTATAAGATAGACCTTTAGAACAAGCTTTAGACCTACCGCACCAGAAGAAAAAGTACAAAAACATAACTTGACTTAAATTCTCCAGATTGCCAGTTGCAAAGTGAAACTATGACACAGATTGAAAAAGAAAATGGTTTAAAATCAGCTTCGGAGTGACCTCAGTTCACCGTGTGGTTCAATCGAAGGACATCAAGGAGGAGTCTGTAGTGTCTTCGATCACTGAGGCAGTTTAGATGCTTCTCATTCAACTACTGTGTGCCAGCTCCAGCTTTATGATAAGGTGGAGTAAAGCCCAATAGTCATGTGTGCAAAACTATCATCAAGATAATACAACTATATTAGTGTAGTTCAGCTTTCTTTCTATAAGAAGACAAATTCTCCTATCATCATTATATACAGTATCACTAATGCTGAGTCAACGTCATATCAAAGTAACTGTTACTATGGGTGTCCATTTTGTAAAAACGTTCACATTGTCATTGAAGCTTTAATTATGACCAGTGCACTTAAATGTTCTCAAACCTCTTATACAATCAATAACACAGATGTGCTTAACAAACAGTGATGCCTCATATAAACTAAAGGTCTGTCAATCAAACCTAAATAAACCAATTTGAATGGTACAGTGTCAAATATCAAATGCATACTCTTTTTATGTAGTCGCACAAGATGATCATGTGACTTTAAAAGCAAGTAAAGTTTTTTAGCAATTCGATTTTCTTGGTAGTGAAATGGATAGAGACCCTTGGCTGCCTTGAAGGTGGGAAAATACATTTAAACATTTGAACTAGTGTCATGCTCTGAAAGGCAGATGTGTGGCCATTGGGGTAAGAAATGCAAAGTCACTGTTCTGGTACTCTAGTTTCTGTGGCCTCTGAAGCGTTTACTTGGGTCTCAAAACTGTGACAGATTTGACTCATATTGGTCCTCATTGTCCGCATCTCCCCCTCCCAAACTCACTTCCTGCCTTTTGTTATAATGAAAAAAATAATAATGTGAATGTGCTCTCAATCAATACAAAATGATCGAATATGCTCAGTCCCATTCAGCATACAGCGACTGTCCATGGGGGATTGAAAAGGCCACGGAGCTCAAAGCCTCACCCATATTTGTTGGGGCGAGGAGGAACAGTGTGGCCCTTTGTGGCCCCATGTTTATTTATGAATGGCTGAGCCTCGGAGCGAAGCCTTAGAACAATGCTGCTTCACTGAAGGACTCTTTTTCATTAGGGGAGGGGTGATGGTGGTGATGATGATGATGATGAGGGTGGCAGCAGTGGTGGGGTGGGCAGCTTATTCCCCACCGTTGGGGCTTGGTACAGAGAGTGGCGAGAGATCTGAGTTGCAACAGGCTGGTGTGACGCTTTGCATGCGAGTGTGAGAGGGAAGGCTGCTCAAACCGCTCATACAGGAGCTGCTGAGTGCTGGGAGGTCGGCCACGGTCACCTACACAGGTGAGCAGCTGCAGTGTATTCTGATTTGTTATTTATTATGCCCTTGGGAGCTTTGGAAATTGAGTTTTTTAGTAAGAAGGAATGGGATAGAGAAACGGATGAATGCACAAACAAACACTTCCAACAATGCTCTGTGCCATCTCTATCCATCTATCTATCTATCTATCTATCTATATATATATCTATCTATCTATCTATCTATCTATCTATCTATCTATCTATCTATCTATCTATCTATCTATCTATCTATCTATCTATCTATCTATCTATCTATCTATCTATCTATCTATCTATCTATCTATCTATCTATCTATCTATCTATCCATCTATCCATCTATCCATCTACTTTCATTTTTTTTGTTCTTTAAGGTCAAACACCTACAGTCAGGGTGAGTGTGTGCTTGTTCGGTTGTGTGTGTGTGTGTGTGTGTGTGTGTGTGTGTGTGTGTGTGTGTGTGTGTGTGTGTGTGTGTGTGTGTGTGTGTGTGTGTGTGTGTGTGTGTGTGTGTGTGTGTGTGTGTGTGTGTGTGTGTGTGTGTGTGTGTGTGTGTGTGTGTGTGTGTGTGTGTGTGTGTGTGTGTGTGTGTGTGTGTGTGTGTGTGTGTGTGTGTGTGTGTGTGTGTGCAAAAACCCTAGCCAATCATTACTGGACAGATTTTCGCTATTAGTGACATTAGCAATGAGTCGTTGCAGTAATTACTAGAGTGTATTCCCACATCCAAACAGACATCTGATGCCAGGTAGAAGAGCCTCTGATTAGACAGCAAACCAATGTTACAAGTAATTTAGCAGCAGTGGTCGGCATTATTAAAACAAAGGAAAGATACATTTTCTTTAATTACTTTTTCAGAAATCACAGTGTTTCACTGCATTCACATATAGAAGGTTTATAGAGTGATTGGTGCAGTTTTTAAACAGCTTGAGACACAAGTGTTTCCTTGGTGATGTGGCTGTGTAATTCTAATTCTTAATTATGGCCTGATTGGTACATTTTGAAATAGATCGTGTTTCAAAGCACAACAGGTCCAGTTGAGGTTAAATCACATAAGTGGTGACACATTTGAGTTTCAGATTTTGACCTTTAATTATAGCTCTTCTTAATATATTTTGTAAAAGAAAATTGATGGTGGTGTGTGTTGAGCACGTTCTCGTTCAAATTAGATTTTCAGTACAAGATTTAGGGTATTTTTAAAGCTTTTTATCATAGTTTTGTGTTAATAATGTAACAGAAGATAACTCAAGAATGAAAACGCCACTCACCAATACTTTCTTAAGTGCAAAGACATGACATTTTTTTTAAATTGCACAAAAATTAGATGGCATTTTTAAAGTCAAGTGGATGGTTTTAGCGAGCATTGGGATGGCTGAACACGGCTCTGTTTGTCGCCCCCTTTTGTTCGGAGCGGAAGGGAGGGCTCTCTAATGAGAGGAGGCCTGTGGCTCACCATCTGCCCACTGGGCCGGGGATTGCCAGAGACACTTGCCAGGTAGAAAAGATGGAAATAAGCTTTTTGGTGCTCCTGATCTCATGTTATGTTGATGATCTGCCAAGTGAAGTGTATCTATTGTCACTGAATGTGCTGTTGTGATTTCAGAAATTAAGTGCATGCTGATTTTAAAACCATAAAAATGCACACATGCATGTAGCATTATTTATTTATTAACAATTGTAGCGAGGGAGTGAGACACACAATCCTGAAGTCACCTTCTATGGTTTCCGACATATTTTTAAAGATACAACTAAAACAGAATCAGAGTTTCCTTAAAAGACTAAAATAAAAGAAAAGTGAATTGCAACAGCAGTAGGAGAAACTACACAGAGGAATGGTAAAGATGAAAACACCCTAAATTAATTCATACATTATGTGCAATAACAATAAAAAACTGTATTCACATTAGATACACTGCAAAATATCAACTGTAAGAGGCAAGCAGTATTGGTATAATCCTCTTTGATAACCTCAAAGTACGGTTTGAATCTCTTATTTATGCCAGCACTCACTGCAGTACCTTGGACAGACTGGGTGACTGGATATTGGCATATCTCTCTGTTTATGTTTGTGTGTATGAGTGTGTGTCTAAGTGTGTGTCTACGTGTGTGTGTGTGTGTGTGTGTGTGATGTGCTGTGTGTGGGAGGGGGAGCAGTCATGTTTTAAGACCATCTGCTCCTCTGAGTATTTTAGTGGGGGCCTTAGCTTGTGGTGGACCAACGCGCGTCACAGGCAAACAGCAAAGCGCAAGCTGTGAGCGGGCCTGTTCCGGAAAAATTCCTCCAGTTTCTGCCTTGCACAATGGGCAGTGTTCTGCATACAACGTTCCCATTCTTTCCCACCCTATCCAAGAGCCACGGCGAAGCTCCTGCACACGGATTGCAGACAATATTCACAATGAAAATGTTCTTCTTGGCACAGTCGATTGTTTGTGTGAGCCTCTTAGTTTGTGTGAGCAATTTCAATAATGTAAAGTGACTCATAAAAGGTGCCATGGCCTGATTTAGCCAAGCTGATTGTTCAGATAGCATCTGTATCCCTGAAGCGTGCTGTGGAATAAGTGATTATCTTGAAGTTTGATTACCTTGGTAGAGGAGGGTCTGCACAAAGCAGCAAACATATCAGATCTTCAGGTCGAAACTAAACCAGGCATTGTCTGTTTATACTTCTTCAACATGCTATTACTTGTAGTTTCTTTGGTCCTTTTTGCCCCTTTCTTTGTGACAGAAAAAAACATGACATGATTCTGAACAACTGGACACTCACTCCTTCTGCTCTGGAATTTATTGTATACATACTGTCCTCACAATGACTATAGTCCCAGCAGGACAATGAAGCAGACTGAGCTTACAAACAGCATATAGGGGATGCAGAGGAAGGTCACATATCTGCCCGGCCCACACTGAGGACTGTGTTGGCTCTTCTTATGCTGCATGTGTGTGTAGGGGGTATGGCATGCTGCGTATGCGTTTGTACATGGCTCCAGAGCGTCAGTGCGGCATTCTCCTCTTCAGCTCTTCTCCAGACTGTTTACGGAGGGATTCCCTTGAGGTTAACCATAACTCGGTCGATGCCATCACTTGGCTAGTGGCCTAAAGGCTTTTGGACACAGTGACTCACCATACATGTAACAATGAGAATGGGGGAAAAGTGCCCAACTTGGAAAGACAAGTTGCCTTTGTTTTATGTCAACTACGTGGACCTCTGAGTGGATCTATGCTTGTGCTTCCCGCCTACAGACATTATTCAGCAGGGAAAATATTATATCTGCATATGGCTGGAAAGATCACTTTAGATGCCCTTATTGCATTTCTGAAATTCAAATGAATCCAGACTTGGCTTGAGATTTAAAAATAATTCAGATTTTTAATAGAGTGATTAAGATCTCTTAAGTGATGATTAAACAAATGAACACTCCAAGATCAAACTCTGTATCAAACTAATGTAAATATATGATTAACATAACCATATTCATCTCACAAGTTTTATATTCCTCCTACTCTCCGTATGTTGCTCTCAGGCAGCCCTTCTGAAAGTGACATTGAGTCATCATGACTTCACAGAGCAGCATTTGCCCTTATGTCTTTGGCACCTAGCATGAAACAGCTCAACTAATGTCAACACACTTTGCTTTGACCTCAGACTGAGGTATGATCAAGGCCCAGAGTTCAAGGCATCAAGACACATGGGACATATCAGGGCAATGGTCGATCCAAGTAAAGGAATGCTGAGTGGGCCATAGAGCAGCTCCAGAAATGCCTGAACGCATATTCAGAGCTGCCCACGACACATGTAAACCAGAGCTCACACAGACTCCCTCTTTTCCCCTTCCTCTTGTCTCCTTCTGACATCTCTCTTCAAATCCCTTTTTCTATTTTCTCCCACAGAATCTGAGATCCAAGTTTCAGAGAAAGACTACTAGCTCAGGCAGAACAAACACAAGGGGAATACGAAGAAGAAGAAGAAGAAGAAGAAGAAGTCAGGACTGAGAGGGAGCAGGAGCTTGGTGCTGAGGCTGGTATGAGGCAAGTGTTTTGCGTGTGTGTCGCGTGTGTGTATCTAAGTGTGCACACGTATGCTGTGTGCTCTGTGCAAGACGTTTGTCTGCCCCATCAATGAGGCTGTTGTTGGGGTTGGTGGTGGTGTCAGTGGCCCTGCCTGGCTGCCCGGCTCCATTCTCTCCTGCCCTTGCTGATGCCTGAACGACGCTCTTGGCCTTTTGTTGCAGTGCAGATGGTGGAGCTTGACGTAACATTGGAAAAAAAGTTAGGATTGTCACAGCCAACAGATGCGTCATTATAGGCCAAGACGTCTCAGAATGTGACCTTTTCCAATGTGAGATGTTTGTTTTTAGAAGAGGCTGTAATTGATATTTTCACAACAGTGTCTTAAATGTGAGAAAGTATTGCTCATAGTGATGAACATACAGGGATTTTTCATCTGAATCTGCAGCTTCCCTCAGCTTTGCAGAGCTTTTTAGTGAGGTTATCTATATTGCCTGTAACTTTACTGTTTTGGTTTACCCTCACAGCTCACATAGCGTTGTTTTCGGACAAATCAGAGAGAAATAAGCTCTTCAAACCTCCTTTAGCGGGACACAACTGCAGACAGACACAGCCGGAGATGGAAAAAGCATAGGAGCATTTAGCAGCTGTCGAGCACAAACTATTGGTCGGGTATTGGTAGAGACCAGAAAAGAGCTAAGTCAGAGTGAATATTGGACATGTGGCCAGAAACATGATTACAATTGAATGCTAATCGTGTTCAATAACTGCTGTTTAATTAAGTGACCTTTTGCTGATACTTACTTAAAAGCTCAATGTTGTGTCAATGACTCGTTTCCTCTGCTTCCGAGTAGCATAAAAAAAAAACGTGAGGTATTTTATTATTAGAGAAAAGTAGAAGGAAGCATTTTGCGAAGTGAATGTTCTATTAGTGTTCGAAAACATGCCTTCCCATTTTGTGACTGTATGATGCATGATGATGAGCAGCAGGACACATCAATGGTCTCTTGCAATGTCAGAACAACAGCATTTTTCACTCTTCTTGAACAACCAGGCTAATATTGGTCATGGATTCTCCGGGGGATGTTAGGATGTGTTAATCACCAAGCTCTGACACACAATCCAGTCTTAGGCCGGCCATCTGTACACACAGGCTGCTGCAACACGAGGCTCAATCCTCTGCTTCTTCTGCCTTCTACATCCACTGAACAAGCTACAGTCGCCATGAAAATAACATACATTTTATTTACTTAGAATCTCAAAATGTACAAATGTCTTAAAAACATGAATAATAAAAGTGAATTACAGATAGCATGTTGAAATAGTATATATAAACACAACACTCAAAAATATTGAATGAAGCAGTGACTTTACAATACATTGAAGTGTAAAGACATTAATTACAATTGTGTTTTCTTTAAAACGGCAGAAATGTTGCACATTTGCTTTTATATCATCTTTTAGATGTAAAATACTCATCACAGCAAAATAAAATGTATGTAGGAAATCTTTAAAATATTGAAACATGTATAAACTACTAACTTTAAATTCTGCTGTGTGAACAATCTATGTTAACTAATGTCTAAACGTAAAAAGGAAACTCCTTTTTTCAACTATTAATGTGTCATGTCACAAAAGGTAGGACATGACATGAAGATTGATATCCTTCTTAGTTTGTCTTATGTAACAAAAGTAAGAAGGCTATGGTGACCGAGAAAAAACCCTGACACACGTATAGCATGACAGACAGAGTTATAATAGTGCCTCAACACAAAATTATATTTACATGGAGATTACAGAGAACACAATTCCACTATTATACTGAACGAAAGAGCTCACTAAAGATATCTTCCTGATATACAGAAAATGATGCGTAAACATAAATAATGCAATCAGTCAATATCTTCTTTAAGTTTGTTTATTGAGCATTATCGCTCTTTATTGGCTATTTGATTACATAAAACAATTTGTGGGGGAGAGAGGCTGTAGTCAACACTCGACCCGACCGTTAGTTTTAATTTAGTTACAAACATTTCCAAAAACCAAATACCAGAACAAGGGTTGAAAAAGTAGTTGTATAAATGTATAAAAAAGCCAAAATGCCCAGCATACAGTCTTTATATGGGCCTCTATGTGGCTCCAGAACAGAGCTGATATTTCAGACTATAGAAGGCAAGAGAAAAACAAATGAGACACAAAACAAACTCTACACACAGACTTGTAGTTTCCTCATGTAATGTATCTATTGAGCTAAACCATGGCTTGTTGGATTTGGGAACAAAATGCTGCAGTGATGCTAATGGGTTTATGAGCCTTTTTCTGGTGCTATTCATTTATAAATGCAGTGTCATTTCTTTGTTTGTCATCACTGAATATCGGTCCCTCCTACTTACCCCCTGATTTATTTCCAGCGCAGCACAGATAGTAGTATTCTGCTGATGACATGATGTGTGGTGGCTTGAGTTTGTTGTTATGTCAGAGCTTCGTCAACAGTGAGTGTCCTTCATTGGACGGGCTTACGTATGGCGGCCGTAATGAGTGATGAGAGGGAGCAAGCAGGTGCTGGCTGACGCTGGGTTTGTGTGTTTGTGTCACTTACTACGGCTCTGTGGGAGTGAGGGGGCTGTCAGTGATGTCACTGCCTGATGATGCTGATGTCACTCTTTTTTCTTTTTTTTTTACAGAGAAGGAGGCTGTGGAGCTGTCTGGGTGTGAGTGAACACCCTCTAGTGGAGCTGCTGACCAGCTGTCCTGCAGAGCGCCTGTCTGTTTCTTACCATCAGCATTTCAAGGTAAGCTTAAGCAATAAGTCACAGCAGGGTATTTCTATGAAGCGATACTAACAAGCTACTATCTTTTGTTATTTAACAAGTTTTAAAAGTCTTCAAATGTGGACTTTGCAATGTTTTTTCTTTATTGCTTGGACACAAATACATTCAGTGAACAATTTTAAAAATATGATTGAGAATGAAGTCAGTTTTGATTTTAATAAGCATATATTAACACCTGACAAACTAACTTATTTACTCAAATTGTATTCTATATTGTAGCCAGAGTTAAAAGGTATAGTTATAAGTATCCAAAGAGTTAAGTTACAATTTCTTACACTAAAACCGCACATGGGCAAAGATTAACTCAAAAATAGTTCAAAATAGCTCCTTCAAACAACTGAAATACATTAAGGCCTTTCACAAATTATAAAATGGTAATAAGTTAAAAAATCGAATTCAAGATGTTAATAGTAACATTCCCATCTCAGTGAAGAGAGTCTGATGATTATTAGTATATATTGTATATTATGTGCCCCATTCTGTGTTGATTAATAGTAATTTATAATAACAATGTAAGAAATAGGAGTCAACCCTTCAACTCTGACATTATCCGTCTAACCTTTTGTTAGAGTTATTGCTGTGACTAAACTAGTGCATTGCATTGTTTTTGTGGATAAATATGACTTTGATTCCCTGCTGCTGTGTTACCAATTAAATATAATGCACGTAGATCAAAACTGAGACAGAGCCATCTGTGGTGAGTTATAAAAATATGAATTTGGAATTGCTTGTTGGAAATTGCTAAATAAAAAAATACTATTTCATTTTGCAAAGTATCATATGGTGAGGCGAACATCACTTCACTCCAATTTTGGTGATCAGTGATTCAGTAAAAAGACAACATTTCCTCTGTGGGTTGAGCAAATTACACCACTTCCAGCAGTCCAAAAAAACGTATATTGCAAAGGGGTTTTGATGGAGGTTTAGCTACCATGATATAAAACCCAGAAACTAAACTGTTCAATCTCAGAAAACATTTTGAGCAGTTGTGTGATTCTTAGAGGTAGACGAAGTGTCTGAGTCACGCAGCAGACCCATGCTGTTAAGGTTTTCTTTTCTTGATGATGCATTTGCTGTGACTGACAGGACATTATGTGTTTCAGAGGTCTATGTTCCAGCATTGAGCCGAGACCATGTGGTGTTTGGAGCTACTTTTACCACTGCTGTTGATCATCAACGGTAATACATTCCTGCATCTGTTCCTCATGTGATGGCAGACCTATTCTTATTTTGTACCTCACACTTCACCATTAAATTACCAAAGCCAAACCCTTGTTAGTGCTACTGCATTTGCTTCAAATAAGCCAAACATTGCTGCATACAGAAATGTGTTTCTTAATTTGTTTTTATTGTACAAGGTGCAGTTGAAATATGCATGCCATGTTGTCACACCCTGTCTCTGATCTTTTCTCAGATGCCAGGTGCCAGTGGAACGTTTGGGTACCTCGGGACATCTCGGCCATGACAAACTCCTGCGTGGTCATCCCGTGCACATTCATGTATCCGTCCGGTATCAGGCCGTACCGTGGCACTCACGGTATCTGGTACTTCGGCCAGCCCTACCCTCAACTCTTCCCTCCTGTTGTCTTCAAATCACGCACAGACGTTGTGCATGAGAGCTACAAAGGACGGACCAAGCTGCTGGGTGACCTGCACCAGAGGAACTGCACACTGCTCATCAACAACATCGGAGCAGAGCACTCGGGGAAATACTACTTTCGTGCTGACCTCGGGGGAGCCAACATGTACACGTACCCAGACTTCTCTGAGCTCAAAGTTCTGGGTAGGTCAATGATCAGAGTGTAATGTACATTAAACTGTAAAAACCAGCAAAATAAAATCAGTAATTGCTAAATAAATGATTTTTAAATTACTTTGAAATTTGCAATTACTTCGAAATATAGCCAAAAATATTATTTGAAAAGAAATGTTTGACAAGTAATTATTAGTTTAAATGTTCCTTTTATTATTCTATTTTTTTCTTCATGTTTTCAATAAAAATGTTTATACCATTATTCTTTTTGTACACTTACTGTAGTGTTTTTAAGTTAGAGTGTCTTTTTCTATAGTTTTATACTATAGTTTTATAGCTATCCTTTGATCCATTGTATCTCTGCATGAAGATATTATGCTACCCTTTTGAATCCCTTTTTACTATTATTAAGAAAAGATATTTCCTGTCCACCAGATCAACCCAACATCGACGTCCCGGAGGAGATTGTCAGCGATGTAAGCCTGGAGCTGACGTGCTACGCTCCCGACAACTGCCCCGAGATGACTCCAGAGATTCAGTGGATGTACATCGACTACCTGCCCGACCCGGAGCTCAGCTCTGACTTCCTGGAGGATGGCAACACGGCCGTGCTCTCCAGCACCCTCACCTTCACACCCAGACCCATGCACAACGGGCAGCTCCTGGGCTGCAGGGTCTACTACCCCAACACCACGCTGGTCTATGAGAGGCTCATCTCTCTGGACATCAAGTGTAAGTTTAAAGGCACTTCCCACTTTTAGGCCATAAGTATTAATGATGCTTTTCCAATTTTCGCATAGTCTCAAAATAATGCTTTATATAAAACTATGGTACATGAAAAGACAAAAAATAATGTCAGTAAACATTGAGAATCACAGTTTAAGGTACAAACATAATCATGTTTATATAACCAAAGTACTACTGTGCATCTCAATGGATCAAAAGAAAAACCTTGTGCTAGAAACTTTGCACAACGGCATCTCTCCTTTCTCTGTTACTCTAACTCATTCTTTCAGACACTGGGATGTGCATGTCCCTTTCATCATTTTCATTACAAAATAATGCTAGCTTTAAACATGCTACTTAAATGATAAGGTGTCATCTTGCTGTTCAAAGTTCAAACCCACAATAACCATACAAAGCCACATGAAAGACAAACCCAAAATACAAGAAAAAGGAAAGTAAAGGGAAAGAAAAGCCAATTTATTTCTTGAGTGGCTTCAAGCAAAGCCTCAGAGGTTGTCCAAATGTAAACGTACCATCTTTAGTGTTTAAATCATGCATGCATTAATCACTGTTATATTTGTGTATATTATATATATATATATATATATATATATATATATATATATATATATATATATATATATATATATATATATATGTAAACCCTGTTTTAAAAAAGGCGGTCATACACATGAGCCCAGGGACATGAAACTCTCTGCTTTCCCTCCCAGACTCTCCACGCTCTGTGTGGGTGAACGTGTCCTCGGAGGTGATGGAGGGCAGCTCTGTGATGCTGCACTGCGAGGTGGACAGTAACCCTCCTTCAAGGATTTCCTGGATGTTTGGAGACCAGGAGCTGCTGTGGGACACGGCGTCCAACGTCTCCCTCTCCCTAGACGATGTGACGCCTGCACAGGAGGGAATCTACACGTGCTACGGGGACAATGGCTACGGCATCATGAACACTTCACTGTACCTGGCTGTCAATTGTAAGTCTATGATACAGCAGCTTTGTCCCAATTCCAACCAACATACTATGCATTCTGTATACAGTTAGCATCTAATATGGAATCAGGAATAAGTTACATTACATTTGCATCTGTGAATTTAAATTATACCCATCAGAAACCATGAAGGAATAGTTGGCTCACATTCTACTCACCCTCTCTGAAGGACAGCAGCTGTAGTGGACCTGAATTCAGCTTCAATAGATTTCAAAAAAATAAATAAAAGGTCTCTCAACATTCATAGAAACTTCTCCAATCATATTTCTACTCTAGCTGCTGCTGATCTGGACGCTCAGTATTTTCCAAACTACCTTGCCTAATCAATAAATCCATATACACTGCAAAGCTTCGGAGCCACGAGCCGGCAAGGACAGAACAAATAAAACGTGTATTGGGCAATACTGTGGAAAAAATGCCAAGCTGTGTCCTAAATACATATAACATACTAATAGTGTCATAAATCAAAAATACTTTTTTTAAATGTGCGCAAACACAAGACACAGTCAGACTGTGACCTTAGAATACCACTGCCAAATCTACAAAAAAGGGTCTTGTTGTGGAACCACAGTGTTCATCAATAGCCAATTAAACAACTGATTGGATTTAGTATGCATAATGATAGCTTTGAGTATACTTTTGTTTTTGTACGCCTGTGTGCACTGAACTATGTATTCAAAAGCTGCTGATCATTAGCATGTTGTATGAAACAGGGACACAGCACGAGTGCTTTGACCTTCCTTTTTAACAGCTAAAAGTGTGTGGAGGGTTGGAGTATAGTTGTGTGTTTTGAGAGCCAGAGATCTCTGCCCAAACGTATCATTGAACATTTCCATTCATAAAAATGCACATATAGTTTATTAGCTGTTCGAGATTAAAATGTTTATGGATGATATAACCATTAAATAACAATATATCAAACTAAAATGTAAAAAAACGATGTAAAAAGGGGTCACTCAACAGAAAACATATCAGTCATATTGCCAATATTTGCTCTCACTGCTCTTACATCTCAATTTTTGGAAAACAGACAGCAGCTTTTCACATTTTCACAATCACCTAGCTGGTAAAAATAGAGGAGCATTAGCAGCTTCTGAGCCAGATGTTTCCCTGAGGATTTAGAGAGGGAGAGAGAGAGAATATTGGACTGACATTCACCAGGTTTCCAGAAACAAGACTCCAAATGAATGATGATGTCGCTCTGTAACTGCTGGATGTGTATGTAAGCCACTGTTGAATCACAGATTGCCATATCAACTTGAAAATAACCTGTCATTCGTTTCCACTGACCCTGAATGGCCAAAGTAATTTCAATACCAAAATGCTGTCTATTGTTATTGAAGAAGGTAGCGTGTTGTAACTATATAAAGATGAAGAGACTGATACAAAATCTGGATAAGGTAAAGAAGAAACAGATATCATTTTCTCTTTAAATGTTGCAGACCCTCCCCGCGAGCCTGTGGTAAACGACTCTATGACGATACTCGAGGGGTCCACGCTGGCCTTGCACTGTAGCACCCAGGGCAGCCCGGCCCCCACCCTCACCTGGCTGAAGGACGGGGAGCTGGTGGGCACCATCACCGCCGACGAGCTGTCAGTACTGGAGATTGTAGAGATCACCCCCCAGGGAGACGGACAGTACCGCTGCCTGGCCGAGAACGAGCATGGAAGAGCCAGCAGCTCCTTCAACATCACTGTCGAGTGTAAGTGCTTGTCCTGCATTTCACCCAACTTGAGTGTGGAAATATAGGACAGTAGAATAACACAATTCTGCAGGTCAACAGGATTATATTCTTGGATGTATAGCCAGCGTCTCTCAAGTTTCTAAACCATTAAAAGTATAATATTCTGCTTCTATGTATTGCAGAATTTCAAAAACATCCTTCTTCCATTAAGAAAATAATATTTATTTATTGTAACAAATTATTACGTTCAGATTCGAAAGGTCACCTATTATGCAGAATCGATTCTGAATGTTTCAGGAACAAAGACCCCCTCTCTTTTTGTCCTTATCCATTAATATAAAAACCTGTCTGAAAATGAGCTGTTCAGATTTTGGCCACTTTATGATGTCATAACATTTTTTTGGCTTGTGTCATTAGCAAATAACCAACCATCTTATCACCTGAATCTCCTCCTAGAGCACCATTTTGTTTTTTTTAACCAAATATCTCTCAGAGGGGCGTGGGGAGTGGCTCCTTATTTTCATCTAAAGTAACAGACAGAGAATCAGCACTTTGGAAACAGGGCTGAAACAGAGGGGATTATGGGATGCTACAATGATCTGTTTGGTATTTGGAGCCAAACACTTCAGAGACATGTTTTGTATATATCTGAGACCTATAATATATTGATGAAAAACAGTATAATAGGGGACCTTTAAATAGGAAAAATGACCATAAGCAAAAAGTTGAGTTTGACGTGTACATATATCCACATTCAATGGTGTTATTGTAGCTCTTTCTGCCTCCTTCACTAGATGCCCCTGTCCTTCTGGAGGAGTCAAAGTGCACCGTGGTGAGGGAGGGTGTCCAGTGTGTGTGCATTGCCACAGGAAACCCTGAACCCACCATTGAGTTCTACCTGCCCGATGTGAATGTCACCATCAACGAAACAGACGGCCGGTACAACTTCTACACACACACAGACGGACACACCTCTACGGGAATGATCAAGCTGCGGGAGAAAGGCGAGCGGGTAGACAACGGAGGCCCAGCCGTCAACGTCCACTGCAGCTACTTCAACACGTACGGAAGAGAGAGCGTACAACTGGAGCTGCAGCAGGAGAGTGAGTCGGGACCAACTATACACCACATCTGATTATTTACTCGCAGGGACGTTTGATACAATTTGAATCAGAATGTCTTATTTCTGCCAATCTTTTTTCAAGATTCAAGGCTTTATGTCATGTGCACATTAGCTTCAGTGTAGATATGGCAATGCAAAACTTAGGTCACAGGCTCCTCCAACACTGCAACATGAATATATATAGGACATAGAACAAATAAAATAGATAAAATAGTGCAAGAGAATCTGTTTGTCTTATTCCTATTTGTCTGAATTCCTATTTGTCTGTACAGCCAAACCTGATATATATTCCTCTATATACAACATTCCTCCATTGTTGTCCAAAAACACATAAATGACCGTTTTAATAGGTGACATGGTCCTTTTTTACCATGGACATGGGCCCTGTAGTTTATTTTGAGATGAGCCCTCTCCTGCAGCTGTAAATTAGATAATTGTTTATTGATCTGCAGCGGAAAATACTTCTCAACAAAACCTTTTTCCTCCTGCTTGAGTAATGTTTGCTCAAACCACCAGCCGCTGTAATGCCCGGCTGTTTTAGGATTGTTTAAAAAATATGTTTGAAGTTTGCTTTCACATGTACGTCTCAAGTAGGAATGGTTGTATTTTGGTGTGCGAGTATTTAGATATCAACAAAAAGGCCTTTAAACCATATTCACAAATTGGCCTTATGCACTCGAAGAGAAGAGTGATTGTTCTCGTTTTAACAGATGCAAATGCCTGCTTTTGCCCTCATCTACTCTGCATAGTGCGATCAATAACAATTCTGTTCTTTGTTTTCAGAAAAGTACATGATGGCAGTTATAGTTGGCACTATTGGAGGAGTGGCCGTCATAGCATTCATCATTGCAGCTGTGAGATACGTTGGCCACAACAACAAGAAGTGAGTATAAATGATAAATAACCGAGAGGCCGATGCGAGGCAGAAGTAGCCCTTTTTCCTCACTAAGCATTCTCTGAAATCCAAGGAAACACTTAAGCCTAGTCATCCATTCTAAAACACATTGATGCATATTGAATATGAGTGATTGTGGGATTGATGTGGACGTGAGAACCATTTCTCAAAAGCAATTTAGCTGTTTATTTACCAAGAGAAGAACCTCTTGGAGATCCGCATTGGCCGCCTTGTGGAGTCGGTTAGCAAGCTGGACTAACCTTATATTTTGCAGACTCAAATCCCTGCCCTGACACTGCTTCTGAATCCTTGACCTGCTACGCTAAACAAAATCCAAGTAGCTCTGTTAACCAAGAACTTTATTTAAGCCTCAAGGCACATTTGGACCCTCAAATTGACAAGCTTCCTCTGACAAATCACCCTTCAAGTGGGTGTGAGCTCAGCGACTAAACCCATCAAATAACCACGTCACTCACCCACAGACCTCCAGCTTAACCTTACATACAGTAGCTTGTTGTTTTAAAATGGATGCCCAGGCTTGGCGTGTCGCCCTGCGTTAGTGGCAGTCGAGACCGAGTCTGACTATGTGACTCCGTCCCCCAGAGAGAATGGCACCCCTAGGCAGGACGTGGTCCTGGAGAACCCAGCTTTGTACTACAGCGCAGTCAAGAAGGACAAACAAAATCTGAGGAAGAAAGTGGTGAGACATGCTGATGTCAATTATTATTATGATGGAGGATGGGTTGGATGACCATTCTCAAACTGTTTAGGGTTAAACATTGTATGTAATCCAGCAAGTTGTATATATGAGACCCCATTTTGACTTCTGAAAATAAGGTAATAAAAGGAGTCCTTCCCACTGGCATTCCAGTACCTCCAACCATTACCTTTCCGAACACTGTTTTCTCTTGCTTTCATCGCTTCTATGCGTTTTTCTGTCTGTTTTTCTCTCCCCTAACTTGCACAGCTTAAGACAGAGCTGTTGGGCTCAAAGTTTAACTCCATTCTAGAGGAAACTACGGTAAGGTTCCTAAACAGATCCCCATTAAAAACACAAGCCTCAGTGACAGATACATCTCCTCGCATATCAGCTTTTGTGTTCTGTACACTGCCGTTTGTCTCTGAATCTGCCTGCTGCATGGCTGCCTCATTGCTAACACAAATTTGCCAGACTAACAAGAAACATCTCAGTCTCCTTGTCAATTGTCGACCAGTAACCACCCAGTAACCACTAACATATTTTGGTAGTGTTGTCCGTCGCGCTCTTCTGTCATTTGCGGTGTCACCGGCACCCTGCCCGAGTTTTGTGTCGCTGATCGATCCTTCTGTCTGCAGGGAGAAGACGGGGATTATCAACCTGTGGGCTCTTTGGCAGGACTGGAGAGGCAAGAGCTGAATTACGCCGCTCTGGAGTTTATCGGGGCCAGGTCCAGGGAAGGGGCCTCAGGGAGGGGGGATGATGACAGCAACTACACGGAAATCAAAGCCAAATGAATCGCGATCCTTCCCTGATCCCTCGGCTAAGCGAGACGCAGTGGCAGCCCCAATAAACTGTTAAATAACCCCCCCGTCGTCAACTGGATTTCACCCTGCATATGATGGCTCCTTGTTTCACATTTCTTCAGATCTGTCACCCCTAAAGCACCACTAGATGCCACTACTCCCCCCTCATGCTGTCCCTCCTCCATTGGACCCCCCCCTTCACATGCCTCATTCGGGAATACTGGTACTTTGGGTTGGAGCATTTCCCACTGGACAATGAAAACAAATTACTTACATTTCTGGCCTCAGTTGTTGTTCATGGGCTCTTAAACATGCAGTGTTAGACAGCAGCTTCGCTTTTGTTGCTTTCTCCATGTTCTTCATTGTGTTTTTTTAAACAAAAGACATCTGAGTGCTTGCATCTGTCCCACTATCTGCTCTACATCTGTCTCTTATATCTGTCACTGTGTCTGCTGCCAGTTGAAGCATCAGGGCAAGGAGTAACGTTGCTTTTTGTTCTCTTATATTTATGTGTGTCTATCAGCAGAGAGCAAACCTCTCTTCCCTCTTTCCTTTGGTTAAATGACATCCTAAGTGTAAGACTCAGTAGCCTCTCATAATAAATGAAACAAAAGTCACCATCACTTTTGACAATAATTGAAGAGGTTTTGTAAATTCGAATGGTTCATTTTCCAGTTCTGAGAAATGTCACAGCTTTTTTCCGGCTTTATTTTATAGTAAACTGTAGGATTGTTGATGTTTTGGGGGATTTTCCTGCACTGTGGCCAATGTAAGACTTCTTTGTCGTCTGCAACTTGTTCTCCCTAAAGCACAAAATATTTGAGCGCAAGTGGCCAAAGTGTTATCTCTTTTAGACAATGTGTGTGGGTATGCGTGTGTGTGTTCAAATCGTGCTCAAAGCTCATAGGACACTGATCATTGATGACTGGGGTCTTTGGGAGGTTTTTTTAGCATTGCTTCACTTGAGAAGTTGATGCTTTATTCTCACAGGGTTGCATCAAATGTTTGAATGACACAGATGATTTGCCAGCTGTTTATGCTATTCAAAGGCATTTGATGAACCTGTGATGTAATATCAAAGCCTACTAATAGTCTAACTTTATAATGATGGTATCAATAATATATATTAATAAGATGTATAGCTAGAGAATGGAAGCCAGTATGTACAGTAAATACCCTGCATGACTGTCCTTCTTGCAGGCATTAAGTTATTAAATGATGGATAAAAGCCAGTTTGAAAAGTAAAAATACTCCTATCACACATCATTCACATGCGCTTGACTCAACATTGTCTTAATAAATACTATCAAGCTCTAACTAGTGTGCACTATAGTCAAATCAGAGGCTGCGTTTACATGCAGGAAGTGACCTTGTTGTTGACGGGGATTGAGGATCAATTTAAAGTATAATAGCTGCTGTATTTAATGAATTGTTTCTTTAAACCTTAAAAGGAAACTCCAGATCAATCAAATCAAAGCAGCAGAGGCCGATATAGCTTTGTATTTCATAGAATAGTATTTCATAGGATTGGGTCAAGTTCCAAACCAAATGCATCCTACATTACCCACAATGCACCAACATCTTTTATTTAGATCCATCCTGCCTGCTAAATGTCTTTCAAACTCCATACGTCTAGTTTGTAACACCGTTTTTTTCACACATCTCAAAAGTTTATCAGTTCAGCATCATATGATGATATTACATTTTTCACAGGCTGAGTTGCACTGCCGATGATATAAATACATTTCTTGTGAATCCGATAGTCGGTGCAGTTCCCCTTCAATGTGTAAAGAGAATGAAGCCACCTAAGTCCTTTCCCCCGTCTTTCTCACAAAAGTGCAAAACAATTACTCAACACAAATTATACTCTAACTTGGTCACTGCCTTTTTAGGTAAAACAATTAGTAAAAATGAAATTAATACCTACAGTGTATTGTATGGTGTATGCTTTATAAATGTGTGTCAAGATATACAATTTGATCAACTGAATCAGTCATGTAAACATTTACGATGTCAGTTTTTTCTGCAAGAAAATGATAAAATACCGAAAGTAATGACCATAGTTTTAATTTCCCAAATCATCTGCTACAGTATGGAACCTGTCCCCTGATTCTTCCTCCTTAAAATACATTACACTGTTTGTACTGATGTGGATTGAAGGGGAACGTAAAATCTAGCTAGAGATGTGCTATGATCTCTTTTTGAAGATTGAAAGTACTTTTGATACTCATGCTCTGCCTAAGGCTTTACAAATGTATGTTATGAAACATCGCCGCACTGTGGCAGTCTCATTTGTAATGATGGATTTAGTTCATCAAGGCAGCAGCGTGTCTCTGTGAGCTAATTGGTTTTACAATCAAAATACAGCCAAGGCCTCTCACTGTGGTAACTGCATTATAGACTGTTCATAAGCAGCAGTGGCAATATAAAAACGAAATCACACTACCAGGAGTACTTTAGGTTTGAGCTGTTCACACATAAATCTCCTGCTGCAAAAAGTTTGAATACACCATAGTGATGAATCCTCAGTCCCTCAATGGCACAGGGCAAACACATATTAGGAGAAATGAATAGAATATTTTTTGTGATATCATGCCCATAATGCTGTGCGACATATCCACCACTATTTTATTACTCTCATAATAGTAACTGCTGTAATAATATTTTGAAATGAATTCCTTGGTCGTATCCTGCATCAAGTCATATTGGTAATGAAACGAAACATGGTGCACACAAATCAGCTAAAGTTCGGTTTGATTTGATTAAAAACTCCAAAATGTTTAAAAGAAATGCAGTTCTCTGTGCATGTAAACAAAGCTTTTGTCTACCACCCATTCTGACTCACATTAGCCTTTATTAAGACATTGTTCTGTCGACTCAAGGATGGATATGCTGGCTAGTATTCTTATATTGCCTGTAGCTACAAAGACAATAACCAGTATATCTTGTTGAAAGTTTTACAGAGTTCTTTTTCATTTTATTTATCTGAAAAAGTAAAAATATGAAATGTGTCTTTCCTAATCTTTTGTCACGGTGTGTTGTATAGCAGATTTGTATACCCTATACTTTGTGGTGATCATAATTATCATGATTGGGATTTTTTCTTCTACAAATATGATAATAATAATTCAGGTCAGAGTTTTGAACTGTTACTTAATAACAGTAGGATTTCTGCAATGATGTAGTTTGTTTGCTCTTTTATTTTAAACATATACTTCACGCCTCAAGCAAATCCATATGTCTTCAGTTCTACCCAAACATAAACAAAATAAAAACAACAACAACTGGAGACAGTTGTCCGTTTCTCATGCTGTCTTTTTTGTTCTGTTTTTTGAGAATGAGCACCATGGTTACAGGTAAGACACAACATCTATATTTATGTTTAAAATAGCCTTTTGATCTATACATTGCATTTGTTAAATGGAAAAGTTATTTGTTGTATGTGAGGGACTACGGATGGAAACTAGCTCAAAGCTAAAATCGGGCATGTTTACGTTTTTAAAGCATTATTTGTTTTAAATGTTCATCAATGTGCACTGTCCCTCTTCAAATAAACAATTAAATGAAATGAAATGAAAAATGTCCTAGCTATATCACAAAAACACTTTTCGATGTGGTTAAGTGAGGGTGAACTCAGTTTGGGAAAGAGTGCTTGGGGATAATAGTAATAGTAATTTGTCAGAGTTATTTCAGTAAATGAATTAGGGGGGAGCAAAGTTGCATTTGTTAAAGCTAACTGGAAACATGTTTAGTTACAGTTTATAATATATTTTGAGAACAAGTGTCACATATCAGGGAAGTCACACCCCTGGGTGTTAAAGAGTGTGTTAACGTGCATCTACAGATTATCTTAATGTGCAACGTCCTGTATTAAGATATGTGTCAGCTGTGCAGCTTCCCTTTGGTTCACTTCCTCTATGTTTGCTGTACCTTTAGTGTCAAGTTTGTCCTGTGAAGACTGACGGTCTCAAGCATCAAATCAGGATGTTTGTTCTAATCTGTGCAACGCTGCTTTTCTCTGTGAGGGGCATCCATGCAGAAACAGGTACTGTATGCATTTTTATATCATGTTGTTATGCCAAAAGGAAAGATTTGAAAAAATATAATGCCAATATATGTCATGATAAGTGTCCTTTGTTTCATTGTTTTCCTGACATGCCTCCAAATTTCAAGTATTTCGTTTTTCCACCAGCTCACAAGTAACAAGTCCTTGCAGCATTGATTAACTAACTTCAGATAGTCATTTAGTTGGCCTTTTTGTTATAGCCTATGAAACAAATATAGTCATATAGCAGCCTTTCTTTATCATTTATTTAATCAGAATGTATTTGATTTCATGATATGTTGTCGAAATTAAAATAACCTATATCCCTGATTTTTCACTGTTTGTGTTAACAGGTGCATCGGTTTGGGGAAGACAATACTGTCAAGCAGGAACATACTGTATCACTCTTAGTGAAGCAGATATAACAGCAGAGGCTGGACTCTGTGTTGTGATACCGTGTTCTTTCTCTACTGCTACAGCCTTTATAACCCAACATATAGTTTGGTTCAAATGTAAAACGTCCAATCGAAAATGTGGCGATTCTGACATTATATTCCACAGCAACAAGTACAACACCAAGGTTCAGTCTTTGTTCAAAGGACGGGTTTCATTGTTGCAGCCTGATGTGAGTCAGGGGAACTGCAGCATCATCATCAACGACCTCACAGAGTCAGACTCTGGAGCATATCAGCTCAGAGTTAATGGTTTACTGGATGGGTACTCGGATGGACTTACATACACTGAAAGAGCAGTTCTCTCTGTAAAAGGTATGGAGAGCTACAACCAATATTAACAGTCAAAATGTTCATTTTTGTTTTGCACAAACATATTTGTTTTATCTTTAGTCTTAATAGGAGATGAAGTAATGTTAAGCTTTTGTCGACATCTGTGGGCAACCAGTAGGAACTGTAGTAGTTCCTGATTTATCTCTTACACATTGCTTCGTAAATGTTAAGAAAGAGTATTTATATTTTATATTTTGCCAACATGTAGGTGAAAGATGACCTTCAGGCTGTTTAACGGATTTCACCAACAGACTGCTCTGTCTTTAGGTCTGACCCAGAAGCCCTCAGTGATGATTCCTCCCCTGACAGAGGGGCAGCAGACCACACTGACCTGCACTGCTCCTGGTCTCTGTTCTGGATCTGATCCTAAATTCACCTGGACATGGAGAGGAGCAGGAGAGAAGGACTCTCAGATCACAGGAAACATCACTGCTTTCAAGACTGAGAATCTGACTGCTGTCACACAGAGTCACAGCTCCACTTTGACCTTTAACCCTTCAGCTGAACACCACAACAGCAGTGTTACCTGTGAGGTCAGCTTCAGAAACAACATCACAGCAGAGGAGACTGTGACTCTTAATGTGACCTGTGAGTATTGTACATACTACACTTAAACGTGTCACCTTTTCTTAAAACGGACACAGTTATCAAAGCTACTGCTGATCGTCTGAGAAATGTGTGACGTTTTGCAGCTTTAAGATGAACATTTTGGGAAAGATCTGTTTTTGGCAAAAATATCTGATGCCTAACACCTTGTTCCTGATGAGGATCAGAAGATTGTTTAAAGGTCATATGACATGTGCAACGCATATTTATTCAATTGCTCCTATTCCTATGACATTTATCAACCAATTCAAATAACTTCCACTAATTAAAGTCACAATCTAGTTTTCCACTTATTTCATTAGTACAATTATTTAAATATAGGAACACATGTAAGCACCTATGTCTTTTATGAATTGAAGTTAATAAAAGGGTAAGCAGGATATTGTGTGGTTACTCAAATGGTGCAGCTGACTCAAACTGCTATGACTCTGTGTGTCAACAGTCTATCCAAAGATCCTAAATAGCTCAAAGTGTGAGGTTCAGTCGGGGGTCCTGACCTGCGTGTGCATCAGTAAGGGGATTCCTTTACCCTACATCATATGGCCGCTGTTGAATAACCACTCTGAGTACTCCGTCATCACCACTGTGTCACGCCAAACTATCCACAGCACCCTAACTGTAAAGGACCACAGCAACACTTTTGTTGAGTGTGTCGGACGCAGCAAAGTTGGGGAAGTTCAACACACCATCCCTGTTATAACTTCACCGAAGCGAGAAGGTAAACACATTCATAACCAATGACTGATAACCAGCAAAAACATAGTCTCTGTTGGTCTTTTAAGAAACGGTTTCGTGAATTGATTCTATGAAAATACACATTATGCGTAATATCGTAAGAAATTGTGATCCAATAGAGTACATGTAATTTAGCTGGTTTATCCTTTTCTTCAACTGTAATTCAAACCCCACTATCATCTCTCATGTGAATATATTTGATAACTCCATTTGTGTATTTGTTGGTATTGGTCACCTACAGGTAAAAATCCATAAAATGGGGTGTTAGTAGCTACTGAATTTACAGCATTAATATAACTTTTGTCACTCTCTGTCATTTCTACTAGCAGATCAACATGGATCAAGTGCACAGCTTCCATGGGTTGTCGTTGCTGTATCTCTTTTTGTAAATGTCATCAGCATAATCCTCATCATGTTCCTTTGGTATGTAACTACAGTACTGTATATCAACATTTACTGCTTTCAAGGCTCTGTCAATACAGTTTTAGACAACACCTCGTGTCTCACTCTTCTCTCCAAAGGCACACAAGAAAAAAGGTGAAACCAAACCAAGAAGACAGAATGTATATGTCAATCAAGAAAACAGACGTGTCATCTGATTATGAAGTTATCGCCCGGCCTCTGAACTAACCAGCTTTACCTGTAGAGGATTTTGATCGTATCGTCAAAAGTACAAGATTCTATTAGTTTGAAATAGCTACATTCTTTAATTTAACTGCCACTTATATTATGTGTTTTTACAGTATGGTATATTATATATATAATACCTTGTTAAATTCAACATGTATATTTTCTACTTTCTTGTTTATTTCTTGTCTTGAATTTGTATTGTACAATGCCATGTCTTTTTATGCTGCTGCAACGCAAACATTTCCCAAACTGGTATCAATAAAGTACTATCTTATCTTATTCTTGTTTTTCATATTACAGTTGAATTACCTTTATTTGCCCAGCAGAAGATCAGGGAGAGTGCAGTACAATCACAGTCGATTGTAGCTTGTGCTTTTTCAGATTATATTTATGAAGATTTGGAGAAAAAAAATGTAAGTGAAATACATTGATTATTGTGTATATTATTATTTGTATTAAAATGTTCATTATAAAAGGATCAGTATTGTTAACAATGTGTTTTGCATTCATTCTGTACGCTTTACCTTTAAAAAGAAGAAATTATCCTGACAAGAAGAGTCATTTTAATTTACATCACACGATTTTACATTGCAACGTATCACAAAAAAAAGAGGAAAAGTCAGATGAATATTCAACCTTGTCTGTCTGACTAAATGGCTCATTTTTTAAAACTCCATTATGATGTAAAGAACCAAACCACAGGAACCAGAAACCATAGAAACCATAGGAAACCGATTTGGTTGAAGGTATTCCCTTATTGCGTAAATCAAAATGATTAAGGTCACACTTATTTTAAAAGGATGTACAGTAGTCTGTACATAATCTCTCTCTGCGCTTCCACCATGTCGGCAAAGCCTTCTGGAATTAATGTCAGATAGCTTCACTGAAGTAAATTAATTCTGGACTAAACAAAATGTTGAAGCTCCTAGACCCTCATTGGTTTTGTATGAATGTTTTATCAGCTGCTTAACATAAAAAAAGATAATAAATAACAAAGGTTTTTTCATTCAGCCCTTTTTATGCAAGAGGCAAAATATGCTGAGCAGAGTTGGAAAGCTTAAAAGTAATGACAGGACATAATCAGCATTTTAGACGGATCTATAGGATAAGTAAAAGCTAATAAATGCAGTAATAGCTACAACATATAACATAGATCATGCTACATTCATAACCTTAAATAAATATATTGCCTACTTTCATACAAGCATTAGCTGTGTTTTGTTGTGTTTTTTCAATGTGACAAAATGCGTTGTAAAATAGTTTTTTTATAATAAGCTTTTTGTTTGTGTTTAATTGCTGCAGTTTAGTTTAGTTTAGTTTATTTATTTTTTTCGAGCGTGTAAAACCAAAGAAAATACAAATGAAACAAAAGGTGATACAGACATGATACAGTACTATACAAATGAATGCAATAACAAAACGAAAGATTTAATTAATAATTGAATAATCTGTAGTATCATTGTCTGATATCAATAAACAACAAAGCTTTAGCTAATTACACGTCCGAAAAGGGGTCGGAAGAAGTTTACACTTATTTAATCTGACCCCTTCTCCCTTTTTTTTTTTTTTTTTTTTTATACATCTTAATATATGTTAACATACAATATAAATGTATACTTATAATCTTGAATAATTTATATAATCATTCATATAATATATACAGGCAAGTTAGGACAATGGTCTCTATATATTTATATATATACATATGTACATACACAAATTCATAAATAGAATACAAAACAAGAATATAAACAGTTATGGTTTAGCAGTTTCATCCATGTACCTGGTGAGAATTGTGTCTTTATACCTCTTTTTAAATAGTTTTATGTTTGGACATCCCTTTAGCTCCTCACTCAAGTTGTTCCAGATCTTCACCCCACAAACAGAAACACAAAAACTTCTCTTTGTTGTGCGCACCCTAACATTAGTGAATATAAATGAACCCCGTAAATAATAATTCCCTTGTCTTTCATTGAACAATATCTGAATATTCTCAGGTAATTGAACGTTTTTTGCCTTAAACATGATTTGTGCGATTTGGAATTCAACAAGATCTGACAGTTTTAATAATTTTAGCTCTAAGAATAATGGGTTTGTATGATCCCTATAGCCAACATTTTTAATAAGTCTTATTGCTCTTTTTTGTAGAATAAATAGGGATTGTGTTGTAGTTTTATAATTACTGCCCCAAACCTCTGCACAGTAACTTAAATAAGGTAAAACCAATGAACAGTAAAGAATATAGAGGGAATTTTGATCAATAATCTGTTTTGCCTTGTTTAATAGCAGTAGTTGGGCTCTCTGGGCCACCGTACTATGGAGCCAATCACATCAGCTACTGACGGCAGCAGATGAAGTTTAATCTGCACATTAGTAACTTCATGTGCAGGTGTGGATGAATCCTTCTGGAAGAAACCTTGTTGCAAAGCCATTGTGGCCTTTTTTTATAACCTTTTCAAACCATTGAAAGACAGCAAAATCCCTCACATGAATCAGTTAGGAGAGTTACTCTAATCTCTAGCTATTGTAAATACTCCTTGTTTTTGTAAGAGTGGGCTACTGCTCTGGTTAGCTAGCATCGACAGCCTTCAATGTGTGAGGAGTCTGAGGACACTAGGAAAACGTATCCATATCAATCAGTGGTGAACCCTCAGGGCCTTCAAGGTATTCAGAGAATACCCTGGAACACTCAGATAAAACAAACAAAAAAATTCGATTTAATTATATAAATAAAATTTTATAAAATGTAAATAAAATGAATAAATGAGAATCGTATCTGTTTTGTTGATTTGTAATATTACAGTGTTACGTTGATTTGTTTGTCTTACTCGGTCCATGCACTACGCATTTGAGTGGTTTTGTGTTAGAAAAAAAATGCAACCAATCAGATCTTGTTCTGGGTCTCTGGGTAGAATATCCTTCAACCAAGGTATTCTATATCCTTGATAGAATGCCCTGGCCATTGCACTGAATGAGAGCGTACGTTTGGATTGACAGTTTGATCAACCAATCATATATTGATTTGAAGCCAATGGGCGTATTCTTTCAGAGTTTCCCTCGGTTCCAGGGTACTCCCGTCAGTTCACAGGCTCGAAACCATGCTCGAGACAGAGGGTGTTTCTCAATGTCGAGGACGCTTCCTTGGTAGGACATGTCTTCCGAGTCAGGTCCTTCAGAAGCGAGGCAAGAATCCTTCCTAGTCTCGGAAAACGAAGAATGGTCGGAACAGGCTAACAGGTGTGAAGGTGTGCGTCATATGAGAGGCCCCGCCTTACATTTTCCGCCAAAGATTTTGGAAATTGGTCCGTGCGCAAAGCATTGTGGGGATTTTAAGACCGCGGAGGATACACATGTGCAGGCTCGAAATTTCCCGCAACAAAGGACGCCGGCCTCGGGTAGAATTCCAAGGATCCTGGACATTGGAACAGTCCTTCGGCGGCACTCGATGAGCATCCTTGAAATAGTGGCTCTGGAGGAGCCTTCCTCGACATTGAGAAACACCCAGAGGATCTAGATACATGCGAGTGCGATGTAGCAATTAATTTGCCGTTTTATTGTTTTTAACGTTAAAATGGCAACAGGTGAAGATGATGTTGTTGCGGAATTGTTGTCAGTACCTTTTTCAAGATGACAATTCAGTGAAAAGACGGACATTATAAAAAATGACCGTCCAACGCCCGAAAATCTTGAACTGAATCAAGTTACTAAAGCAATGTTCGCCATTTTCAGGCTAACAACTGGGAAAGATATCCGTGGCTTATGGGCTCAGCTAGTCACAAAAGACTCTACTGCTGGGAGTGCTTGCTTTTTGGGACCGACAAGGGTCACCATTGGAGCTTCTGTGTTGGAAGTCCAGCTGGACTTGAACATGGTTGCTCGTCATTTTCGCCAGCGTGAAGGACAGGTCGCAGTTCTGCAAAGCGCGGTAGGAAAAACAAACACACCCACTTACCAGCGTGTGCTGTGTGTGTGTTTGTGTGTGTGTTTGTGTGTGTGTGTAACATAACTTTGATATTAATTAGCTACTTTACGTATATGAAAGTATCAGTAAATAGTGCTAAACTACTCAACTACAAGCAGGCCTAAGTTCTGCATTCAAACATTTTCACCTTGTGACTCTGTTTGTGTCGTCCTTGTCAAAAGGGGTCCTGGAGACTCTTTGTCTGGTGGGAACTATCACAGACTTGTTTTTTTAGTACTTTGCCATAGTTGTAAACATGCAATCATGAAACTCCTGGACTAGCCTCACGACCCTCTTTGATATGTTTGTTGGGTAGGGATTTTATTATTTATTTTTGCATTTGGATATTAGTTTTATTTTTCCTTTGGCAAAAGTATTAGTATTCTATGTCAAATTAAAAGTCAAACAACAGAGTAACAGAGTCCTTGAAATTGCTCTAACCAAAATGAAAGGCACTTTTTGCAGGAGAAGGCATCTCAGCCAACTTGTAAATGGCAATCAGCTGTGAAGTTGGTGCCGATCAGGATTTCAGAATTCATTGTCACAATGTTCATAAGTATGCAGACATATTGACATATTTCAAGTCAACCTTTCTAGCCTCTTGCATTGCAGCGACTTTACAGAGAACAGTATCTACTCAGATATTGGAGAATAAAAAACAGAAAGACACACACAAATGCAGAAGTGCTTCCTAAGAGGATGCATGCAGTTGAAATGGGGAAATGCCCTACTTTCTTTATGAGCCTTCTGCTACCTCATCTATCACAAGTTAATGTTTTTACTTCATAAAACACTGTTCATTTGGCCATCATCACTCCACTTTCACTGCAGATATTAGGAACACAGACCATATGCAGCAATGCACATTATGAGATTTAGGAAGAAGATATATAGACCTTTCATACGTCGTTCAATATTAATGCTTAAAAAAAAACTATACCAGTACATTTTCTGTTGTTTAGGATTTAACAAGATTGTATATATATATATATATATATATATCAAATCACACATTTACATATTTCCTTTTCAAAATATTGACATAGTCATGAGGATCTGAAAAAAACAAGCAAACGAAAAAAGTGTTGCTCATGCTATGTGTTGGGAAACTTCCTGAAACTTTGACGTTGCACAAGAGGGAAGAGTCAGGTCATAGCAGAGACACTCAGCAGAGATCACTGTGGAGAGGAGACGGCAAGAAACAGGTAAGACACAACATCTATATTTATGTTTAAAATAGCCTTTTGATCACATTGAATTTGTTAAATGGAAATGTTATCTCCTAGCTATATCACAAACACGGATTTTGACATACTTGACTTTCTAGTAAAGTGAGGCTGAACTCAGTTTAGGAAAGAGTGCTTGGGGATGGAATAAGTCCTTTTTGAAATATTTTAATTGCAGTATGTCACAGTTATTTCAGTACTGTAAATGAATTAGGGGGGGAGCAAAGTTGCAGTTTTCAAAAGCTAACTAACTAAAAACTAAAACTAAAGTTTATAAGATATTTTGAACAAGTGTCACAAAGTG